CAACATGACCTGTAGGCAAATGATCGGAGTGGGAGTCAGAAACGTGGTCCTTGCGCGAGGGGAGCTCGATAGACTCGAGGGGCCAGGATATGCAGCAAGGAGGGCGGAGCTGCGCCGAAAGGCGAAAGAAGCCGAGAGAACAAGGGAACGGCAGGCGGCGGCGGCGCAGGACGAGGCAGAAGAGAATGACGCGACAGAGGAGGAAGTGACAAGGGAGAGAACGACGAGAGTGGGAGACGGCCGCGAGGTGGCATGAAGGTTGCAGCGAGAATCGGCGAGAGACTGCGAAAAGAGATAGGAAGAGGCAGACCCCCTAGGGTGGGCGACGGCTAGCGCACCACACTCCTCTCCTTAAAATCCCTGGTGGCGGCGGCGGCTCCTCCTCCCATCACGCTGCTGTGGAGTCCGTGCCCGATCACGCGGGTAACAGCGACCGCTGCAAGCGAGCGCCGACCGGGCGAGGCACCAGCAGCGCACGCAAGTTCATCTGCAACGCCCATCGTGCGTGCGAGGTGCACGCGCTGCTGCGCGAGGAGAGTCTTGGCTGGCAGTGGCACATCTCGCGGGGCGTCGCACACACCTCCACCTGCACGCACGGTCCACGCAGCAACTCCGCGCTCAGCTGGGAGCAGGCGGCGGTGCTCGCGTCTCACCTCCGACTCGTTCACGGCTCAAGGCTTTTCTTTCTGTCACAGGTGCATATTCGCTCAACTCACGTCCGCCACAGTGACGTCTCAGAGTGTCTCCTCATCCGTCACAGTTCCGACTCTTCACGGCCACTCACCGTATCTCGTTTGCCGCCCACTCGTCTCACTTTGTCTCCTCACCGCTGGCAGGTGCGACTCTTCGCGGCTTCACTACCACCTCATCGAGGTCTAACCGAATCCTTTTGTGTGAAGGTGCGACTCTATCATCTCGGTTTACTTGCCGACTCGACCGTCCAGCCTCCCGGTGTGCGTGATGCTGCCCGTTCACGCTGCTGCAATGTCTGCACTAGGCGTCACACTTGGAGCGTGGCATGGACACGGGCACGCCGCCGCGCGAGCTCTGGATGGCTGCCTGCGAGCGTGCACTCGACGGCGGGGCCGAGCGCTCGGAACTTGGTGGGGTCGAAGGCACGCTACTGTGGGAAGCTTCACATGCCTCACTCACCCGTCCACACACGATCCCTACGACAGTAGGCGTGCCGACACTGGCGCAGTACCAGGAGGCTGCAAGCAGTGTGCGGGGGAGCAGTCACTCGCCCATCTTGTGCACGCTGGATCTGCTGGCCTGGGCCACAGAGCACCCGCTAGCCCGCCGCCACCGTCGCCGCCGTCGCCGACACCGGTCAGCAACTCGTCGATCCAGAGGGAGAACGATTGAGAGTCGTCGGCCATCAGGGGCAACGTTTGTCGGAGCATAGAACCGGCCTCTCTAGAGCTGAACTTCTCCCTTCCTCCCTGCCTGTCTGTGTGCGCCTGCGGCGCGATTTTCCCTCCCTATGCCTCTTCACAGCGGGGTTTTGACTTCTTTGAGTCCCTCTCCTTCGCTCTTCAGGGGCGCTGGCGCCGGCGGCGTGCCCTCTTGTTGGCCCTCTTCACAGCAGGCTGTGTTTGACGTCTGTTCTGCGCTCTGCTCACCGTCTCCGGCGCGGAGGGCCTTACCCCCGCCGCCTGCTCCGAATCCACCACCACCACCGCCGTCACCTCCAGCAACTCCCCTGCGTGCGTCTTTCCCGCTCGACTGCTCCTCCGCCCCTCTCCGGGAGCAGCGGGAGCCGCCACCTCGATCTCTCATGCTGCACAAAGCGCGAAAGGAGGAGGGCAAAGAAAGAATTCGAGCGCAGCGGGCCCCCGAATGGCCGGCCTTCACAGCCTTGTTATTGAGAAGAAAGTACGTCCTACCTATGGCGCTGTGCGCTGGTCTGTGAGAGGTTGAGGCGAGCCCTGGAGGGAGGACTACAATTGTACAATTGTGCGTAGTCGGTGCGGCGACGGGGCCGACGGCGCTCGGGCTGCGGACCTCTTCACAGCAGGCTCGTTTTGACAGCCGGGTTGTTCTTCGCTCAGCAGCGCTGGGTGCCCGCTTCTCGCCACTGCCTTGTCCTTGTCCTGGCATGTCGGCGTCCGGCGCCTTCCCGGCGGCAGCGGGGACGTCATCCAGCAAAGCCGGCGCTCCTGCGCCCGCCGCGTCGGGCCAGTCCGTCAACAAGCGGTGCGTGCGCGCGCGCCCCCTCCACACGCGCGAGCACAGGAGCTGCCCGGACCGCCGCAAGAGAGGAAGAGCAGAGGAGAAAAGGGGGCGCGCGCGCTGTGGTCTGTGCGGGCGGCGCAAGCCATTTTGGCGCGGCGAGGCGCGTCCCCGCCGCCCTGCGCCCCGCATGACTGAGCTGCCCTGGCGCGTCCCGCTGCGCAGGCTGCAGTCGGAGCTCATGTCGCTCATGATGGGCGGCGACGCGGGCATCTCTGCGTTCCCTGACGGGGACAACATCTTTCAGTGGACGGGCACGATCACGGGCGGCGCTGGGACGGTGCGCCGCTGTGAGGCCTCGCGATCCGCCGCAGCGCTGCTGCGCGCGCACGCAACGCTCTTGCATCGCGCGCGCTGACGCCGCGCTCCCTCGCAGGTGTACGAGGGCCTCACCTTCAAGCTGTCGCTCAAATTCCCGACTGGCTACCCGTACGAGGCGCCCGCGGTCACCTTCAACCCGCCCAGCTGCTTCCACCCCAACGTGGACCAGTACGGCAACATCTGCTTGGACATCCTCAAGGAGAAGTGGTCGGCCGTGTACAACGTGCGCACCATCCTCCTCTCCATCC